AAGGAAACGTATAAAAATAAGGAGAAGTCAGGTCGTGGAGGGACAGCACGGTAGATGGCTAGATGCAGGAGGTACGGGCAAGGGACGGGCAGCACCAGCGGGCCCAGCGGGGACCCAGCGGGGTTGGACAAGGGGCGTCCAGTAGCAGCTTAATGTGGCAAAATCGGGCCCGTCTTGGGTGTGTTTCGAAGGCGAACGGAAGTGCCCCCCTCAGGCTTCAGGGTCTAAGCCATAAAACATTCGTCAGGCTTCTAATGGTTTGGACCTGACTTGGGGAATTGGGCTTGGGCCAGCGACGACCCGAAGCGCAACGAATCACATATGCAAACTGCCTGGGTCAGGCCTGGGTTCAGTGTTGCGGGCTGCGGCAATGGAGAAGACATTATCCTGCTCAAGTCATCATGTCAAGATGACAGGGAACGAGTTAGCCACCACCCAGGTACTTCATACCGGCATTTGAGTTGGGGTACGGATCTCCGTACACACTCCGTTGACAATCATATTATGGCGCAAGGAGCGGGCTATACAATGGTGGTCATCATCAGCCTATAGCAGCCCTCCGTGCTCGACTCAGCCTCGAGTCTAGCGCTGGACTCATCGCTTCTCTTTGGTCGCTCTTCAGCTTACTGCGTAATCCGGATGTGTTGTCTTAGTGCCGCAACCAGACTCTGTATCAGACGGCACTGGGCTGAATACTTAAGCCGGTCGCATCTGCATATACCTTACCTAGATAGGTATCCGTGCTCTGTGGTCTCCCACCGTTTCCCATACGCATATTATCTAAGCACATAGCAAACTATGCAGTAGCATTATTACTTATGCTCTGTGAACGTGGAATTATGCGCTGGTTACCTAGGCCCAGGTAATGAGGAGGTAAAATGAGGTCTGATCTGCGAAGCAAATGAGTCCAGCCTCGTCCGGGAGAATGGTTCTGCGGAGTACTTCGACAGTGTCTGTGCCTGGAGGCCAAGCGAATGCAGCCTTTAAAGACCCTAGCTGCATGTGAATGCGGCAAGACACATTGGCTTCCGCCATGTTCCGATAGACTTATAGATTCGTACCTTGTGTTGGTGCCAATATTCACTTGCAGATAGTGGTTACTTTCATTCTGTACCGGGTCCTCGGGTATTACAGAACCAACGTACGGAAAGGGGGACAAAGACAACCCGGCTGCTATTATTAGGTAGGGAGACTTATCGGGGGACCGACACTACCTACGTAAGTACAATGCTCTGGACACCACAAATATGTACAAAGCTGGCCAGAGTCCAAAGATCCAACGCATAGCGAATGGCAAAGTCATTCTAGGAACAGCACCTACAGAAAGAGGATTGCCTCCTTAGTATTCAAACTTCTACGTCACCTTGTAGCTGGACTCTTATTAATGGCAAGGCCGGCTGTGTCATAGCTAGCCAAGCCCAAGATTGACAACATAGGAGCTGAATAGATTGACTCAACAAGCACAGGTGGAAGAGTTTGTGAGCATGTTAGCATGAGTGAGTCTACTTCAGGTAGGTAAGTACTCGCAGCGCAGATAAGGCCCTTCGTCCTTGGCCAGACTCGTCGCTACGGATACTTTGATGCAATTCAACGCTGTGGAGCGTGGACTCATGGAGTCGTTCACCGCCGAACGGTAGGCGGCTGCTCTATGGTGCTCTGCCTTCCATGGTCGCTGGGTAAGCTGGTGATGGAATACCCGCACTTTCCCCGCGCGTGCACTTTAAAGTCGAGCCACTCAGAGAGGTGCCCGTTTCCCATCTTGCCATCTTACCTAACAAGGTATCTTAGTCACTTTGAACTTGACTTCCGGCCAACTGCGTCACACCTCGGCTGAGACTTCTCACCGTCCTTCGAGTCATTGCTCCGGCCAGACTGCAGCGTCAAAACTTATCCATAGCCTCTCTCTCTGTCCAAAGCCTCCAGTCTTTGAATGCACATCCAAACTTCCACACCACAAAAAACAGACCCAATTGCGTATAGATAACGATCGCCATGGCCTTCAACTAGGAATCCAATTGAGATTCCTCTCTGTCACTCCAAAGTCAGCAACAGCGCCTTGAGCACGTCGCAGATATCACCACTCAACTCAATTATCAAAATGATACCGCGCATAGCGTTTCGTTTCTCTGCCCTTTTTACTGCAATAGCTCTTCAAAATCGGCGTTGACATCCATCCCGAGTTTGTTCTTACTCGATATCACGCGCTTGAGAAACTGCCACACATTCGCCACCACACTCACTATCCTATTGCCACTCTTACAATTGAACCATGGCTTCCGGCTCAATATTCACTTTCGATACGGATCCTCAACGGGTCTCATCCCCATGGCTGGCTCCTGAAGACTCGGGGAGGAGGTCCAACTCTGATAATGGACAAGTCCAGCCGGGGCACCTCTCAGACTACGGCGTCACCAAGTTGGAAGCAGAGCCGCAAGAAGGTCCTACCGAATACAAGCTTCATCTCTTATTGCGGCCAAGACGGACGTACACCGCTATGAGCACCATATCTTCCACCCATAACTCCAGAATTCCCGCCAGCCGCTCAAAGATTGCAAATGCTGCCCTATCGGCCTCCAGCCAGAGCCGACAGGTCCGCCTACAACAACTGACCACGCAATTGCTTTGGAGGCTCCAGCAGTCATGTGCATACCATGCTCTGAATCCCAAGGACCTCATCATACCGAAATTACCCGATGATACGGACGACTTGAGCCAAGCGATGACTCCGCAGAAACCACTCCCAGGCTTGGAAGAATCTCGTGGAGCATTGTACGAGATTGGTGTTGCTGATGACGGGACTCTGGTGGGGCTTACCAAAGACGAAATGGACGAGAGCACCACGACACTCAAGGTCATGGCAGCTACGCTGGGCTGCCGCGTTGAAATCCTACGCCATGTAATTGTTGGCGAGTGCGAGTGGCTAGAGACGTCCGAGTTGGTGGATAGCGTGGCCACTCAACCTGCCCAAATTGCTCGACAGGCAAGACTCTGGGTTGTAGAGGCTCTCGTTACTCCTGACTACTCAATGAAGAACCGTCACCCAGATGGCTCGGCAGAGGGGCGTCGCGAAGCGAAAGAATCGCCAAGGGCTACCGAGTCTGTTGTGCAACCAAGCAGAGGGCGCTCTACCACGGGTCAGCTAAGGATAACGCTTACTGGACCAACAACGTCCGGGAAATCTACTTTGCTGGGTACTCTGTCTACGGGAACTGTCGACAACGGCCGAGGGAAAAGCCGGATCAGCCTCTTCAAACATCGACACGAGGTCGCATCTGGACTCACTAGCTCTGTAGCACAGGAGCTTATCGGCTACAAGGACGGCGTCATATTCAATTATTCGCAGGATCACGTTGAGTCGTGGATTGACATACACGACAGTGCTGAGAATGGTCGCCTGGTCTTTGTTTCCGATTCCGCCGGCCATCCCCGTTACCGCCGGACCATCCTCCGCGGTTTGTTCGGCTGGGCTCCGCAGTGGACTATTCTCTGTCTGGCGGCAGACGATGCGGACGCGAGTTCGACAAAAGACGGAGCGAGTTCCAGTGCCAATGACGTCCTTGGCGTCGCAGGGGCTGGCGTTGATCTTGCTAAAGCTCATCTCGAGTTATGCCTAAAATTGAAGACTCCTCTGGCTATCGTCATCACAAAAATGGACCTTGCAACCAAAGCCAGTCTGCATCGAATTCTTGGACAGCTCTTGACACACATCAAAGCAGCGGGCAGAGTCCCCAAGATCCTCCAACCAGCTCAAGGCAGTGTTCAGGAATGGACAGCTGTTCCTTCAGCAGATCTCGACAAGGTGAAGGCTGTCACCACAGAGATGAATCGGGATGGAGACCTCCTCAGATTTGTTCCAATAATACTTACCAGTGCTGTCAGCGGTGCTGGTATTGGGATGACACATGCCCTCCTAGAGAGCCTCCCCCTGCCACCAGTCCCTACTGCCAACGACTACGTCGGGATGGCATTGAATCCCGAACAGCCGTCGTGCTTGTTCCACATTGACGACACTTTCAGCCTTCCTGCGTCCTACGCTTCTCTTGCTGAGAATCCCAACCAGAATGACATGGGAACAGTTGTATCCGGATATCTACGTTTTGGCCAGCTTTCGGTGGGAGACAGCATCATTGTTGGACCATTTCCTTCCGGCGAGGACGATTTCAAAGGCATGACGCCGGAGGACCGGGCCTCTCCTGGCAATTATGGGCTGTCAATATCCCACCCATCGTCGGCAGAACTTGCCAAGATTGCAATTCGCAATACAGTGGCAGCCTCCACAATCCAAGGAGAATGGCACAAAGCCAAAATTGTCAGCATACGTAATTTGCGGCTCCCCGTGAACACACTTGAAGCTGGTCAAGTCGGCACCATTGGAATCGTCCTGGAAATGCCCAAAGAGAAATCGGCAGAAGCGGCTTTCGAGACACCGTTGGCAGCTCCTCGAATCCGGAAAGGCATGGTCCTGGCCATTCCATCCAAACATATGGCGGACACTGGCATGTCTCTCCAAGCAGCTAGTGGACTTACGGTGTCATTCAGAGACCCCAACACTGCATCGCTGGCGTACGGGTCTCTTGTTAATGTTTACGTCGGTAGCGTTCGGGCGGCGGCCCGAGTCAAGGGTGTTTCCAGACTTGCCTCAAGGAATGGCTCGAATAAAGCCAAGCCCGAAGAGACTGAAGATATCTTCGACATGAACGAACATGACGAATCAGCCCCTACATATGATCTCGAGTTCTCGGGGGGCGTTCAGGTAACATTGGAGCTGCTGACCAGTCGAGAATGGGTCGAAATGGGTTCTCAAATCCTTGTGCTCGAGGGAGGCCGCAATGATAGATCTGGTTTAGAGGGCTTCGTGGGAACTGTCGTCGAAATTGTGGACTGATTCTTTTCTTGCGTTTTGCGTTTGCGTTTTGCGTGGGAATTTTGTTTTGATTAGACTTTGTAGCGGCGTTGTTGAGCATGTTGCCACATCCTTCACTTTTATCGTTATACCAGCGTTATCATGTTCCTTTTCAGATTATGGTTCTGCCATGATATATATCTGCGACTAGACCCATATGGTGGTTCCCCAACGCCTGACGCCAGAAATGCCCCCTTGACTATCCGTATCTCATTATGCCCTCACCAAACCGTAGAACAATGTCCAGGTGAGAATGAAACCAGAAAGACCTCCGAGCAGCCCACTCGTCCAGAAGTCGAATGGTCCCTTGAAGTAGCGGCTCGTGCTGAGGAACGGAAGACCTGCTGATGTCGATTCGGGAGCGATGCGCAGAACATAGAACAAGGCGGCGGTAATGAAGGAGAAAACGAGGTAGAAGAGGAAGCCGCTGTACGATTCGAGACCGAGGATGCCGGCCGCGACACCGAAGAGGGATGCTGAAAGACTCTGCAAGTTTGATAGGGTCTGCAGAAGGCGCGATATGGTTAGCGACAAAGATTACGTCGGCCATTGAGGTCAGCTTCAGGGACCTATCCCACCTTGGTGTTGTGCATCACGGATTCCTGCACAATGGGGGAGATTTGGTAGTCGCGTTCCGACGGCATCGTTGCGGTATTGCTGATATGGGGTGCACGGTTATCAGGTCACCAGAGAGCTCGTGTATTATCAGGGGGGCAACAGAAGATCTCAGGTCTCGCGGTCGTATCTTTTCCGTGGGCGATGCACTTCGTGTTTGGAGGGTCTATAAACTAGCTTAGGTGGTGGTGTCTGTTCTGTTCGTAGAGCTCTTCCGTCATAAAGCGGGCTGCGGATTAGGTAATGCTAGCTTCCAAACGAATAAGGTATGGTCAGTTGGGGATTTGGCAGGTCACTGGCTCTCTGGGTATGAATCCTTACCTAATCCCACGAAGGAAAGTTGGAGATCGGTTTACGGTATGATAATTTTCCAGACTAACTACCTGCCCATCCAATCTTGCGTTAGTGTCCCCAGATCGGTGGGTGGAGAGTCATGTCGGTCTCGGCTCCGCTCTGTGTCGTCCCATCCAATGTACCAAAATTAAAAATATGCAAATAATAATCCCCAGGTACGCAATACGTGATGCACAAGCCACATTCTCGGTGCGCAAGACCTCACCGCGACACCGTTAGAACGCTCCGTTAGCTGGGGCAGATCATATGCAACCACCCCACCGAGGTTCCGACTTTGTACCCCTAGCACCTTAATCGGTTACAGGGGTCCAGTTTCCTTCCCCATTCGCGAGCGGGCTGGTCACTCTCGGGTCGGCGCTTTGAGCGAACTCTCCCTTCCCCCCTGGTGCGCCCTCCGCAATCACAATACGTATCCGTACTCCGTACATACAATCCGTATATATCCCCCGAAGCACCGTCTGCCTACTAGAGAGTAGTGTTTGCTCATGTTTTGCGTTTCCCTTGAGTCTTCTAATCATTAGTCGACTACAACACCTCACCACCCTTCACACCGTTCACGATCCCACGACGCAGCGGCCAGCGCGACGACTTGGGGCGACAGATGGCCGTGCTGCTTGCAGGTGCCTCCTCAATACTTGCCAGGTCGCTAGATGGAGCCTGTTGTGTTTGATCAGTCGCCGCTCGCAGAGTACCTTCGTGGTGAGTGCAACTTTCTCATAGGCGAATACCCGTCATGCCATTGAGCTCGCCTACTGATAATCTGCGCGCATGCTGTAGACGAAGGCGAAGAGGAGCAGGCAGGATGGGCGCACGACGATCCAACCTACGATGTGTCGCCTCCTTCGAGCCCTGAATTCGCGCCGACAGGTCGGCCGATGGTGAGGTCGAGATTCCGCAATAATCCCCTCAGAGTCGACATACCTACCAAAGCGGCCTCCGACAAGTCTTACAGACTCAGCTATTCGGTGCGCAATTCAAAATCCCCTATCTGTTGGCACGTGGGGAAATTACTGATGTGTGTCCTTTCCAGACCGCGGTAGCATCCAGGATTGACCGAGCCGACAACTCCAAATTCCTCGAGCAATTTCGCTATACTATTATCGCATCCCAGCTATTGAGTGGGCACTCCATATTATCCCAGAACCATGCATCATCCCGGTCCGCCAATATGGCCATTGACGGAAACCCGGCCGACAAGTTGCTGGATTCAACGAGCGCGGTCGTCGTCGTTCTAGGGGCATTGGCTCTCGTCGTCTCGATCAACTGGCTTGCAGGAACAGGGCCATTGAACAAACGGCGCACTTTCGTCATTCTGTTGGTTTTTGTGATCGCTGCAGGGATCGCCCATGTGTTTATGCGTAGACAATGGCTGAGGTACAGACGGCTCCAAGCACTGTCAGAGGTCACTGCGTTTGTTTCAAACTCTCAGGAATTCGACAGCGCGACTGGCGCAGCGATTGCTCTGGTGCAAGAGGTGGAACTTGTTTCCAGAGGTTACCGTCTGTAAGTTCAGTTTTTCCTCTGGCCCAGTAGCTGGCGAGAAAGTCCGTGATGCGCTGACACAAACTTTAGGAGTGCGCCTCTTCCGCCCATCAGTCGCATAGAGGATCGCTCACAGACTCGCAAGTGCGTGCGCCTCCGCAGGGCTCTGAGGGCGTGCTTCGCGGATGTCATTCCCGCATACGATCAGACCGTGGCGGTAGTGAAAGGGTTCTCGGAACAACTCGACCTCGAGAAGTACTACGATATTTACGATATTAGCGATTTCGACATGTCCGATGCTCAGCAGGGCTTCAAGGAGGATGAGTTTGAGGATACCGAGTCTTTGAGGACGCTCAAGATCCTTGCCGCACGGTTCCACACCATCCGAAAGATGTTTCTGTGTGCATTGCTAGCTCTGGACGCGAGCGGTGAGAGTGACGACCTCTTGAAATGGACTACCACAGTAGAAGCGGTGCGCACTCTCAATACGGCCACCCAGAGGGCATTTGACAATCTGAAAAGACTTCTGAGCGACGAGGAGTGTAAGTGGTCTTTTCACCTCACTATGGGGCGTGTTGACTGACGTTCTCAAGCATTCCCACCACCGCCAACTCCAAAGATGCCATTAACACCTGGTCGTGAGAGATGGAGATCGCAATTACGCAAACTCAACTCTTTGTCCAGCGGTATTCGCGGCTTACAGGCTAAATTGACGCTGTTGAGGGAGGAGTCTGACCGAAGCCTCAATGAGTCTGACGACATTTCCGAGCTCGGATCCAACCTAATGTCACAGTATGAGTCCATAGGGGCTGACCTGAAGATACTGATGCAGGCCTGGGAGGAAGGCAAAGCGGCACTCGCTCTGGGTATCGACCGGAACGAAAAGCGACTTTCTTCCATGAGCACACTGTTGTCTCCGACCAGCTCTCTCAGTGGGCTCACGACGGTCGACGAAGGAGGCGGAGCAGCCGAAGCCCTGAAAGCCTTGAACGGAGAATCCCCCTCAAGCCTAGACTTTAGCAGCACAGGGGAGCCCGATACGGAAGAGATTTTTGAGGCGGTCGCTAAGCCGTTCCGGCCCCGCAGCTTATTGACGAGAGACGAGCGCATCGTCAAGATGAGAGAAGACCGGGAGAAACGAGAGATCGCCAAGGAAAAAGCGGATGCCAACAAAGGCATGCTCAAGGAACTTGAGATGGTCATCAACCTCCGACCTCGTCCACGAGCCGGGACGAATCCATCACGCATTGTCTCGATGTGATGAGGATATGACATTTGATGACGGATATGGCGTTCTGGTGCAGACGACTCAGCTAATCACAGTCATTTGAATCTTTGTTTTCCTTTTCTGTTCTTGGTTTCTGATACATAATCTCTGCAAACACATTCACACACGGGATGCATATAGAAGGGGATTTCAGGGAATCCGGATGGGAGGTATCGATCGCTTCCAGTTGACCCATCTGTATTGTATAATGACACTCATGCCCAGCATGATATCTGGTGCAGGCTCAGAGATCGGGCCGGATAACATGTTCAGACTACTTTTAGTATTACGAGCAAAAAAAATAGTATCTACTAGGGAACCAAAAGCCAGAGAAACGAATAGCCCGATTGTTTGATCTGTACTTTGTTTTGTTTACATCTTCACCAGCCACACAGGGTAGCAACAACTCCAGTATTTTGCACCGTTTTTATGGCTATGTCCAGTGGTTGCCATCCGGAGCTTGAACAAAGAAGCCCGGTCGTCAGGGAGAAGAAAGGGGGAGCCACGATTCAGGGGCTTGGAGCATCAGCGGTACCTGTACACCCCTTGTCAAGTGGAGAGAGCTCGGTGAGCCCGGACCAGCTGCTATCTCAGGAGGGCGTGGAGGGCAAAATGCGCCTGCCAGGCTACTCGCTTGTCCTTCCATTCGGATACGTAGGTGGACGGTGCACGAGCCATCCGTCAGCGATCAAAGACGGAGCGGTCGCTGGCTGGCGTGCCTGTGAGTGAGTGTTCCTGCCCCCCCGCGCGTTGTTGGCGTTGAGCCCTATTAAACGCTTGACGCGTCGTTCCCTCGCCAGCCCACTACGACGCGCGACCGTGTTTGCCCATTAAAGTGCTTTCCGCGACAAGACCTTCCACCATTCATCAACCCCTCAACCACAGACTTGACGATCTCAACTTTTGCAACAGCTCACCATCATCTCTGCGCCTTCCCTTCCGCTTCTTTGATACCCGAAGATACCCCTCTGCTCTTTTTCTTTTCACAAACATATAATCAGCCAGTACGTCGTACCATCCACACAATTTTTCTTTCTTCTTAGTTCCCCCAGTTCCCGATCCAAGTGCATGACGCTGACATTTCGCAGAGATGTTGGAAGCCAGACTCGACCAGGCCGATATCCTGAAGAAGGTAATTCTTCCCTACTTTCATTCGATAGTCATTGCTGCTGGTTCTTTGACTAACCTGTCCAGGTTGTCGATGCCATCAAGGATCTCGTTCAGGACTGCAATTTCGACTGCAATGACTCCGGCATCATGCTCCAGGCCATGGACAACTCCCACGTTGCTTTGGTTTCCATGGCTCTCAAGGCCGAGGCTTTCTCTCCCTTCCGCTGCGACCGCAACATCGCCCTCGGCGTCAACCTCGGCTCCTTGACCAAGGTCCTCCGCGCCGCCCAAGGCGACGACATCCTGACGCTCAAGGCTGAGGATGCCCCCGATAGCCTGAACATCCTCTTCGAGAGCTCAGCCAACGACCGCATCAGCGAGTACGACCTCAAGTTGATGGACATTGACCAGGAGCATCTGGGTATTCCCGAGACGGACTACGCCTCCACAATCACCATGCCTAGCAGCGAGTTCAGACGCATCTGCGCGGACTTGATCGCCATGAGCGAGTCGGGTACGTGGCACTGTCCCTTCTAACCTGGTTCTCTAAAAATATAAATTCTAACTTGCTGCCGTTTACAGTCACGATCGACGCGAGCAAGGACGGCGTCAAATTCGCTGCCAGCGGTGACATTGGCAATGGATCCGTCACTCTGCGAAGCCACACCAACGTGGACAAGCCCGAAAACAACGTCGACATTGAGCTCTCTGAGCCCGTCTCCCTGACCTTCTCTCTCAAGTACCTCGTCAACTTCTGCAAGGCCGCCGCAATCTCCAAGCAAGTCAAGATCTGCCTCTCCAACGAGGTACCGCTGCTTGTCGAGTACGCTCTGGCGGGCTCAAGCTACCTGCGCTTCTACCTGGCGCCGAAGGTAAGTCTAGTCTCTTTCTTGACGCTCAACACCATCAAGAAAAAAACCTAACGTGCATCCTAGATTGGTGACGAGGAGTAAATCGGCGATTAACGACGGAATGAAGTTGATATTGCTGGCGTTGCACGGGATCATGGACGGGGCAAAGGGCCTGTCCTTTTTCACTCTGGATTGAGTTTTGCATGTTCTAGAGAAGATACGCAATACGTTGGTGAAGGAAGAGCAAAAAGCACTTTTTGGGACCACGAAAAATAATGAAATAACTGTTTCCGCCTACCTCACACATGAAGCAATGGGTCCATGAATTCTGGTACCTCGTGTGCCTGCCTCTCATCGAGTCGTTTACTGGATTCTCTCAATTGAAAGAGTGCGCCAGCTGAGAACAGCTGCAATGAGGCGACCTGCCTTCCCGTCAGAGCTTTCCAATCTCGGGCTAGTGCGGGGTTCTTCGATGCGCCCTTTGGCTTTTTGGCGGGGTCGATTTTTTCCCTGGAAATGTTACGTCGGGTTGGGCGGACATCGGCTGTCGCAACGTCAGAGTCAGAGCAAGAGCCACAGCCAGAGCGGGAATTGCGAAGCTAACGAAGTGGAAGAACCTGGAACCGCATTACACCCGTTTGGATCCTTTCTAATCTCACTTAGTCACTCCCAACTGTTGTCTCTCTCTCTCGACCTTACACAAGATCAAGAGATACCTCCGGAGTAGATAGACATCCGGGTAATTGCGCCGATACAGGACCTATTACTTTGCCCAGACTTTCGATTTGCAACGCATCGAGTTTGTTTGTCTTATTTCTGCACCATTCTTCAACACAACACTCCTTCTCATTGTCCAACATCTGTAATCTTTCCGCGCTTCGGCATCTTTCCCGATAAAGCATCCCGCCGATAACCGACTTTTGAGATCTGAGAAACTACATGCACAGGCCTTCAGTAAAACATACCTAGAATATTTTACAACGACGCATTTTGAGCAAACAATAAAGTCTTGTCCCTGAGACGCACAAGTCTCGCAATAGGATCATGACGGTGGAACTCCCGATCCCCGATACACGCGTTCTGGCCGTCGCCAGTCATGTAAGGCTTTTTCTCTGAGCTCTCGCAACCTCGACCAAGACGTGTGGCTGACTGCCTCGTACAGGTTGTGTCCGGGTGAGTTTGTGTCGCGCCCTGTCATAGGCGCCACCTGTGCGCCAGGCGTGTCGACAGGCAGAGTCGTGAACCGCGGGTCTGACAGCCTCTCGCAGAAATGTAGGAAACAAGATCGCCGTCTTCACACTGCAGTCCCTCGGCTGCGATGTCGCGGCTCTCAACACCGTCCAATTCAGTATGGCCTCCTCCTTCCACCCTCCCATCCCTCTCTCCATGACTCACTTCCACTTTCCCCCAAATATCATAGGTATAGCTATGCTGATACACACTCTCTCAAAAAACAATAGGCAATCACACAGGGTACAGACAATGGAAGGGGACAAGGGTGTCCGCTCAGGAAATCCGGGACCTCTTTGAGGGGCTCAAGCAATCGTACCTGGACGACTTTGACATGATGCTCTCGGGCTACATTCCCGGCGCCGAGGCCGTCGTGGCCGTGGGCGATATCGCAAAGGAGCTTAAGCGGAAGCAGGCCGCCGCGGGGACGCCGGGCGGCTTCTTCTGGGTCCTGGACCCCGTCATGGGCGACAACGGGAAGCTGTACGTCGCCGAGGAGGTCGTGCCCGCGTATCAGAGCCTCGTCGAGCACGCCGACTTGATTCTCCCTAACCAGTTTGAGGCCGAGTTAGTTTTTTCTACCCTCCCTTTGTCTCCTTCCTCCCTCTTCTTGTGTACATGGTCAGATATCCGCGGCGCCTCGGCGTCTATTTCATGCCCCCTGATGAAGGAAGCCCTCGTATAGAGAAGGAAACGTCCTCATTCCCTCTTTCACGCGCGCAAAGACCACAAGACTGACGCGGGAAAAAACCAAGGCTCCTCTCGGGCGTCAAAATCACCGACATGCAGACGCTTCAAACCGCCATCCGCGCCCTGCACACAAAGTACAGCATCCCCCACGTCGTAATCACCTCCGTCTCCCTCGTCTCGCCCGACCATCCGCCCTCCCACCTCTCCGTCGTCGGCTCCAGCATGTCGCCCTCCACCGGCGAACCGCGCCTCTTCAAGATTGTCTTTCCCGCCATCGACGCCTACTTCTCCGGCACGGGCGACATGTTCGCCGCCCTCATGACGGTGCGCATGCGCGAGGCCGTCATCGCCGCCAGCGCCAGCACCAGCGCCGACAGCGAGGCACAGCAGCTCAAGGACCGCGAATCCTGGCTCAGCGGCAACGAGGTCGACGCGCTGGACCTGCCCCTCGCCAAGGCGGCGGAGATGGTGCTGGCGAGCATGCACGAGGTCCTCACGCAGACGGCGCGCGGGATGCAGGAGGTCGTCGCGGCCGCCGGCGGGGACGCCTTGGCGGAGACCGAGGAAGGGAGGACGAAGCTTCACCTGCTCAAGAGCAAGAGCGCCGAGCTGAAGCTCGTGAGGAATCTTGCGAGCTTGCGGGAGCCGACTGTGGAGTTGAGGGCGAGGAGGTTGTAGACGGTGCCTCCCTCTGGAGGACAGGGGGTATGGGGTAAAGTGGGTAGGGATCGAGCTTTTTGGGGATGGGAAAGAAAGAAAGAAAGGAAGAAAGAAAGAAAGACATAGAGGTGTGTTTCGTTTTGGAGAGGCGCTTGTGCGTGTGTTTATCTTGCTGTTTCATAGACTTGCAGAGTAAGCGCACTTGTATGGCGGAGATTTACGTCACCTGCATGGAGAGACGGCGTGATGGATTAGGACTAGAAAAAGGCACATCATGGTGGTCGTAGCATTTGTCATTATTCATCCATTTTCAGTTATATAAGAAATCCACAACTTTTGTATCGTTCCCGTGGTAATGTGATGGCATGGACTGCTTCATCCCCGTGAAACCAATCTCTTCTAAGCCATAATGCGAGGCCCCCAATGAATCTACCAAACGCTACTGTATCTACTGCGCAAGAGAAACGCCGGTGCTGCCGAATCCGCCAGCGCCGCGCACGCTCTCCTCGAGCTCGACGACCTCGACGACCTCGGGAGTGAAGATGCGCTCGATGATGAGCTGGGCGATGCGGTCGCCCTCGGCGACCTCAAAGTCAGTTTCGGCGTGGTTGAAGAGGAGGACCTTGACCTGGCCGCGGTAGTCGGCGTCGATGACGCCGGCGCCGGTGTCGATGAAGTTCTTGGAAGCGAGGCCAGAGCGGGGAGCAACGCGGCCGTCTATAGGATACGAGAAAGTATGGTCAGTACATCGCCATGACCACAATTGCTAAGGAGGGGAAAGCTCTTGGGCAGCTAGCTGAGAGCAGAAGAGGTCTCAACACATACAGGTGCCAGCAGGGACGGAGATGGCAATGTCGGTATCGACCATGGCCTTGCCGCGGGCCGGGATGGTAGTGACCTTTGCTGCGTAGAGGTCGTAGCCGGCGGCGAACAAGCTCCCGCGGGTGGGTAGGCGAGCCTTGTCGGAGAGCTTCTTGATCTGGAGAGGCGGGCAGGGCTCCATGGCGGCGGGGACGGGGGCGTCGTTGGAGGAGGTCTTGACTCGCTTGGCGGGAGGATCGGACTGCTGGTGTTGTGCGGCGACGGGTTCAGAAGAGGTCATTTTGGGTTGAGAGAAACGTTGGGGGATGTAAAGACTATGGAGGAGAGTTTACCTTTCGCCGTGTGAATCTTGGACTAGAGCAAAGTGGGGAGTCAAATGCTGAGCGAGAGAGTCTACTCCTTTGCATCGACAAGCTGGGTGCCTGCTCTGCTGGAGCTTTCCACAGCTGGGTTGTCAGTGGGCACTCTCCCACCATCTGCGCTTTGGCGGTGTCGCGCGATACGCGTCCGGACGCGGCAATGCAATTGGCCAATCAGAACCAGAGTGGACAGTTGCCCATTAACGTATCAAGAACTCCGTACTATGAAGAGGTCGTCATTCGACATAAGGTAGCATGCAAGGGCATAAACTACCCCACGGCATGGCAGAGTTCATTCATCTTGCGATGATCTCTTTCAGGAGATTCAGATAGCCTCAGGGTTGCCTTACGAACTCCTCCTGAAAGAAAGGCGCAAATATCAAAAGTCTGTCGATTATTCGTTCTTATTTTTTGCATTGACGAAGGCCGAAGGAGATGCTTCAGACGTATGCTTCGCACGCCAAGGTGTCACCCTGGACACCAACTTTTTTTTTTCCGTTTTACCCAGATCCGGAGGCAAGTGTAGAGTCAATCGCATACACTGTGACGCGCTATCGAAAACGAGCGCGCACTGTGAACATTGGAGCCTCAGCTGCACATTGCAATGGCCTGGGGAGCCTATGAGAACTGCATGCTCTGAGTCAAGAGACTCGACGCTTAACAACAGGAGCTTTTCTCTGACATTGCAAGGCCCAGGGGGGACATGCTATCACGAAAAATTCATTTTGATTGCCTGGTTGGCCATCTCCACACGGGGGATCTGCGCCGACTGCGTCGCAGTCACACTCGCACGGATGTGCGGCAGATCAAGCCCTGCTAGTCGTCCAGCTCTCTTCCAAAATCAATGAGCTTGAGCCTCGTCGCGTCCCTAGGATGGAACTGCGCGACCTTGGACCTGACGAGGAATCGCGCCGCTGCTGTTTCCTTCGAGAGCTTGACGTAGGCCGCAGTGCTGTCGCCAGCTGCTTCAGCATGTTGATTCAGAAGCTGTTCTGTTAGGTCGCGCATCTCGCGACCAGCAGCCGCTGCTTCGTCCGCATTGCCTTTTCCCCGGCCGGCATCCTCTTGAGGTAAACCCCAAACTTCCTCGAGGCGTCGTTGTCGTTTATCCTCGTCCACGTTGAATTTGACTTTGACAGGTCGGCCCTGGGCGTTGAAACCAGCACCGAGTTGATCCGAATCAATTTCCATCATGTCGCCGACGACAGGTCCGCCTAGATCTTCCGCAGCCAGTTGACCTCCGAGGTGACCGTCAATGAAGTTTCTCAGAGCTTTGAGCAGTTTAGTCGTCTCCTTGTCGTAGCGCTTCTTCTTTTGCCTCAGTTCGTCCAGTCTTTTCTTAGCTGCCTGTTCGGGCGTCAATTCCATCCTAGATTCGGCCTCGTCTTTGAGAGACAGAACTCGCTTCTCCAAACTCTGCTGGAGGGTTTTCTGGTCTGACAAATTCGCCTGCTCAACTTCGAGCCTGCGTTTGGTCTGATCAAAAGTGGCCCCTTGACTGGTCAAATAGACTTGGGACTCAACAACGGTCTGATGAGTCGTTCGCAAGGCCAGTAGCGCGGGTAGAACAGATTCCGAGAAAGGTACGAAGGGAGGCGTACTGGCAACTTGCTCGAACGCGCCTTTCATGACTTCATAAGATCCTCTCCCTGGTCCAGAAACATTTTGGCTGGAGTTGGCATTTCGTTGAAGCTGTTCACGTATTAACTCACAAAACTCTAGACGCATAAACTAGGATGCATACTGCGGCAAGCTCTTCCCGGTGTTGCTCAATCTTTTCTTGGAGTTCTTGCAAGCTCTGATCCAGGCTCAAGGTGTACCTATCGCTGACGGGGCGGGGTGATTCGTCCATGTTGTGCTGGAAGTGGTCGCTCAAATTGAGAGGCTGCTGTGTGTTGTTGTATGTCCTTGATTCAGGCCAAGCAATCTGATATTTTGGCGACACGGTGAAAATATCAGATACGATGGCGCACGCGACCTCGAGAGGGTTTCCCGGAGGAAACGAAACACTTCAAGCAACGGCAGCACGCAGGTCTTCGATCCGTCCTAAAGCTCACGGCCCGTCGGAGCAATGGGCACGTCCAATGGTGTCGAGCGTCTGATTCGATCCTTGTCAGAAAAAATAAGGCGAGTTCGGGCGCTAGATCGTCTCTGCTTGTTTCATACGAGGTGTCACTGTGTGTCGGACGCTATTAAGATTTCCGGGGGCGCAGACAGTCCGCGATTTGCACAGATGATGGTTCTGTCTTGGCTGTCAAGCAGTCTGGCGCGCTGTCAATTGCAATTCCTGACTCGGTGGGCTGAAATATAATAGAAGAAAGCCTGCTAGTTGTCGGGAGGGTTTTGGCTGTTCGTCACGATGACACTGAAAGCGATGAGGAAACTTGTTGAAAAGCAATCGATGCCTATCTCTCTCACACGGACGAGGCGTGACGTGACGTGACGTTGTGCCGGTTCGACTTGTGTACTCTGGATACCCCGTACGGAGTATGGTGAGGTGTGCAAGAGGTGTGTTGGTGCCGATGGGAGCATCCCCTTGCATTGGAAACAATGCAGAGCACCGCGTTGGAGGCAGGGTCGGTCGCAAGGCGCAAGGCGCAGCTTCCATTTCCCTCCCGCACCTTTTTCCTTTGGTCAATTAGTCTGCGGGAGATGTGCGGAGGAAATGCACACGAAATGGCAAACACTGTGCGGTTCGCTGCATGGATCTGCCCAATGAAACATCCAATCCCCAGCATAGGTGGAAAGGCACAAAGGCATCCGTACCTACCTAGCTGTACTCCGTATTGCGTACCTAAAGTTGGTACGGCATAGGAGTGCCAGGAGGGCCAGCTGGCTGCGCACGCTGCGGAAGGTACGTTAGGCAGCTCCGGAGCGGGGGGGGGGGCACCTTCTCCCCCATGTTGCTTAATCTGCCGGAAAGGTATCGCCTCTCACTGTGTGGATACCTCTTTTTCTCTGGCCCAGAGTGGAGACTTGTCGAGGCAAGGCCGCAAATGAGGCATAGGCACCGGCTGCGTCAATGTGGGGACCGTGCATTGAATTCAGACACTGTACTGGCCCTTGCCCCCAGGCGGGCACTGATGGGCTCCTGGCATTGGCGCCGCGCTGGCACTTGCGCTGCTTGTTCTGAGGAGAAAGCGTGAGAATATCTTGCCTTCCCATCCCGTTTCTCAAACCTCTTCGAGACATCCGGAGCCCCCTTCCAACCCATCTGTTTGCCCTGCACGGTTTTCTCTCCCCATCTCTTTTAATCACCGACTCGCCTCTTCGTCTCTCTCCTCGTTTGCCGAAAGCTCTTGGTGGGTTGTGTTTTTCCAACGGCGCAGCGCATCGGTCCCCCACAGTTTCGCTTCCCTCTCACGTGTCGCCTCCCAAAGCTATCCAGGTCCAACTACTCTGGCTAGACGGTCAGCGCGTTGCCATCATCGTTTCGTTGCTTAGCAGCTCGACAAGCTTCAAGGAGACAAGGAACATCACGCAAGGAAACATCAAAGCTCTGCTTGCAGACTTGACACCACGTCGCGATACATCGCAGCTTGGACTGTTCGTTTGACGGAAGAAAGGTTTGAGCTTCTGCATCCGAATCGCCTCCCAGATACAACCTTTGTCTATCATCAGCTCCTTCCCTCCCACCTTCTTTACCTCTTTTCCATCATTCACCTTCTTCCTGCCCGTCCGCTGCCTCATCGCCCAGCCTCGCCTTCCCTCCGCTTGACCTGAGTATCTTTGCGATCCTCACGATTTCGGAAGTCACCTCGAACCTGATAGGATAGGAGTCATCCTGAACCCACATCCCGATCTTTCAACTTCACGATCTCTGCCTGCCCTACGACCTTTATCCTGCACGATCAAAGCCACTTCACCGAAGAGACATTCTCTGAACCCGATCCCGACTACGCCACTACACCAGCCCGTTTTCCTTTGAAAACCGTTGTGGTGTAGATAGTCGAATACAAACAAGCTCTTCTTGAACATACACGGAATTGCGAAAACTTGTGTGAGACATTAACAACTAGCCCATCATGTCCGCGTCGCCTACCCAACCCGCCAACTCGGCCAAGCGTCCCCTCGAGGAGACCTCGTCTCCTTCGCGTAGCAACGACCAGCCCGACGCGAAGCGACCAGCCTTGGACAAGATACTGAAGAGTGACGAGGAGGTTGAGATGGCGCAGCCGCTCGACGCAACCACCATCCCATCCACGGATGCGAACGGTGCCGATAAGACCAACGGCGCTGATACAAAGTCTGAGGCTGGTGACGAAGGCGCCGAAGGTTCCGAGACGAAGCCTATCCAGAGCTCTGTTGCCGGCTCTGTTCCTGCGACGTCCACGCCCTCGGCAAGTCACGATGAGAGAGATTGGATTCACATTCGCGCTGTCATCTCCAGCCCGGAAGCTGCCACCGTCATTGGAAAGGGTGGAGAAAATGTGTCAAACATTCGCAAGATGTCGGGTGCAAAGTGCACCGTCAGCGATTACCAGAAGGGGGCCGTTGAGCGCATCTTGACCGTTAGCGGCGTTGTCGATGCCGCTGCAAAGGTTTGTAACTGAATCGCTCTTGCCCAGAGGGACCCCAGCTAATTCAGTCGAATAGGCCTTCGGTCTCATCATTCGGACTCTCAACAATGAGCCTCTGGCCGAGCCATCCAGCGCCCAGTCAAAGACGTACCCTCTGCGCCTGCTAATCCCTCACATCTTGATCGGTTCCATCATCGGAAAGGGCGGAGCTCGTATCCGCGAGATCCAGGAGGCTTCCGGTGCAAGGCTTAACGCGTCCGACTCCTGTCTGCCTCTGTCGACCGAGCGTTCTCTGGTGGTTATGGGTGTTGCTGACGCGGTTCACATCGCTACGTACTATGTCGGCAGCACCCTGCTGGAGCAGCTGAACGACCGATTCGGTGGCCCTGCTGCCTCCGCGTATGCGACAAGGAGTGGTGGGCCTGCTGGCGTCGTCCCCGGCGGCATGCAAGTTGTCCCCTACAGCCCGCAGCCAACCACCGGCAACTACGGTAACCGCGATAACTACAACCGCAGACACGACGCTCGCGCCCAACATCACGGCCTGCCAGCTGCTCCGTATGGCGCGCAGCCGTACCCTCACCAGGCAGCCCAGCCCAACCCGGCTATGCCCATTCACTATGGTGCGGCGCAAGCTGGCGGTTATGGCGCCGCTGCTCCTATGCAACCCCATGCCGGTGCTGCCATGCCTCAACCTCACGGCGCTCACCCAGCTCAACCCGTTCACGGAGGAGCCATGCCAGGCGCGCCCTTGACCCAGCAGATCTACATCCCCAACGATATGGTTGGAGCCATCATCGGAAAGGGCGGGCAAAAGATCAACGAAATACGCCAGATCAGCGGTAGTGTGATTAAGATCAACGAGCCGCAAGACAACAGTAACGAACGGCTGGTCACAATTACGGGCACAGAGGAGTGCAACAGGATGGCGCTTTACATGCTCTACTCTCGTCTTGGTAAGCAGATTGAGGACAAGGTCAGCAGGGTCGAGCAAGAGTGCTAACAAGTACAACAGAATCGGAAAAACACCGGATCTAACGTTGACGACGTTCATGACTTTACTGACTATCAAATTTTAGTTCGGCAAACCAAAATTTCGGGCGGAATGGCACAGTTTCTTTTCTTTCGCGAAACATCATCGCCGTGTTTGGGGGATATCGGATTGGTCTCTAGCGACATCTACGCCGCGAGACCCCGGCTACATCTGGAAAGGGGGACTGGTCTCGATCAGCTTCGGCAGATCAAAGGTGCTTTTAGAGGAGGTACTACTTTTAATAGTGCACTACTCTCTTTTACTTCATCCATTCTCCAGCACATCTTGACTCCCTGCCCACTCTCTTCACTATCACCGTTGCGCGCCCCATCGGTCGCCGCCCTGTCCGGCCCTGCTTGTCGTCCTATCACCCTCACTTACACAGCCCTGACGGTTATGACTGCCTTGACCCCTAGAATCTCGTGACCCGTTCCCCAACATCGCCCTGATCAAATCCACCACATACAACATTCTCTCTACCTGCCGTATGACACGCACGCATATCTCGTCTTGCTGAGGCGCAGATCGACTCTTTTCCTTGCCCGCGCCTTGGCGGAGGAGACGAGGTCACCAGGGACACTGATAGTTTGGCCGCGCGAGAATGAGATTGCTAATTGATTTCCAATAGGCATCGGACGAAGGCGACAGTGACAGGGTTTGTCAGCCGGGGGCTAAGTTCCATCCACAACTCGGAATCCATGGGATGGACGTAGGAGACGGTAAGTGTTGACGCTCGACTTGCACGTGCTGATGACGCGCAGCAATCCTGCCTCGGATCAGAAGCAAACCGCACAAATCTGCACACAGGACAGTGAGTGATGGACCATGGTTGGGTCACAAAAGTGTATTACACATCTCGTCTCATCTTAACCCCATTATAAAGGTAAAGTACGTAATCGTAGTCATCCCATCCTCGTAGCTTTCTTCTTCCAAGGAACAAAATTCTACAGGTGCTAGCATTAAATATATTCGGTCCTCAGATTTGCTTCAGATTCACGTGATACTGTTCATCGTCAGTCGAGTGACACAGGCAAGCAGAGAGATGTCGGTCGCCTTGACAATAACGTACCATGGAGATGTCCTTGCGGCCTGATCTCAGCAAGTGAATGTTATCAGAGATGGCTGTAAATATACATCCAGTCAGCTTTCTTGCTAGAGCCTGTGTAGGAAACCCTCCCAGCGGGGGGTTAACGTTGACCAAACTTACGTCCAGCCTTGGCTTTGGCGTCAAGGTGAGCCTGCTTACTATCCCATCCCAACAAGAGCGTCATAGCAGGTCCCTTCTCCCCGTCCCCGCCTGCAGAGGCGGCGTCCACGGCAAGGGGCGTCGAGATCTCGCCGTACGCGTGCCCGTGGTACCCGGCGACGCTGGCCCGCCCCTCCGCCAACCCTTTTGCAAACTCGGCCGTCTTGCCCGCGAACGCGGGTTCTACGCCGTACGCTACAAAGACCTCTGTGCACGGCGCGCGCAGGACAACGGACGGCGGGTCCTGGTTCGCGGAGAGAAGGGGAACCTTGTAGAAGACGGGCGAGGAGGCGGCGACGACGGCTTTGAGGGAGGCGAACCAGGGCATGTAGGCCTCGGACGAGGCAAAGGCGGAGAAGGCGTCCGGGGAGGCCCACTCGATGACCAGGACCGTTTTGGATGGGTCCTCGAGCTGGGTGCCCGTGTAGAGGGCGTTTACGCCGGGGACGGATTTGAGGGTCGAGGTTACGTCGGACCAGGCTGCGGGCGGTTGGGAGGGGGGCGATGTGCTGTGGTTTTTGAAGGTGAAGGTTATGAATTCTGTGACTGGGGCGAAGGAGGCCATTGTTTGTGATCCGGTTGACTTTGGAGAATTGGAGAATGTAGGATGATTGGGATGAGTGAGGTATGTGAAGTAGGTATCAGGTCCTCGAAAACCTTTTGGGTGAATAAGTCCTTCCCGGGGGGTTGGTTGTGACTTTATATCTTGGACGATTATGATGCTATTCACGACTCTGGGTTTCCTGCGATCAACAAGTGTTTGACTTCGTCACGTAGTACGAGCATCTTCTACAAGGTTCTACATTCGAGGCGGGACGTTGCACTTCCATTCGGACGCATCGGGACGTATAGGTCACGTGGTGTGGTTTTACTCCGCACTGCAGGGCGAAGCTTCTGGTGACACAAGTCTCTAGGTTTGCGAATGTCGCAAGCCACATTGCGGCATGTCTTCTGCCGGTTCCTCAAGCCCGGTAGGTGTATGTGTTGTCTCCAAGGGCGCAATAGGACTTAAGAATGACAGGCTCAAGGGCTTGTACAGATTGCTGAAGAAAAAGAACGGGAGTTCAAATGACGGACGGGGAGGCCATACATCGGGCTCCGCTCCGGCAGAGGCCGGCCGGTCCCACTCCCGCTCGCTCCAGTTCCGTGGAAACTCCGCCCAGAGACGGCGGTGATGAAGTTCAGGCGCGTGACCAACCTAGATGATACTGAGCGGCACTTGCTCCCATGCGCATTCTTCGTGCAGATGATGAGATCAAAACATGCGAATGATAAACACACCCCAAACCTGATCATGGCTTGACGCTAGTAATAGCGCACCTTCCTATGAGCAAGGCATTCCAACGGTCGAGACCAAGCTCAGAAGTTGTCTGGCCTTGAAACCATGAAAGGGTGAGGCACAGGAATGCGACGATTGCGACGATTGCTTCTCCTCATCGGCAGTGGACTGGCTGGCTTGCGCTTTCCTCACATGGGGGCGGGAGAAAGTACCGTGCTTGCCCAGGCGCGCCCAGGTTTGCTGAGTGCCCTCTTTCGGGCATCGCAAGTTGGCTTAGGGCTGAGGTGAAATCAATAAAAAGCTTTTTTCTCGTGGCGTTTGGTGTCGCAACCAGCTTCTGAACCTGCAGGAAGCTGACAAGGTTGACTCGTGTTGACCACGATGCAACACCCTTCCTCACCGTCACTCGGCAGTCACTGAATGACAAGCAACGTTGTGCAAGAGCCCCAGCATCGTGGCACCACTACACGCATGCGAAGCTTGCTCGCTAGCACCGCCTGCATTGTCGCGGGAAAAGAACGACAGGCAGTCCTCGACCACACTACCTGGAACGCAGAAAGGCGGCCTCGTGACACCAGATCTCACAGTGAGCGCCATCGCTGTGCCACTTGACTGCATGTAGCCGAAAAACCAGTGGTCCGTCCTCGGCCGTATTCGAGCTGCTAGGCACGCTGACTGCATCGTAGAGTTGCAGAGAAACAGCAAACTTGTCAACGGCTGCCGAGCGTACAACAAGGACCACAACCTAGCATGCGTTTTCCAGGTCTGGGTGTCTTTGAAAATGGCCTCAGTTAGATATGTTCGAGTCCACCTTTTGCGAGGCTATTTCTGTCGCTCTTGAATTTGCTGTCATTGACCCATGACGTCGCTTGAATGTAGTGGCAGGTCAAGGGGCTTCTCGGCTTCAGATGTCCTGCCAGCCAATGCCTCCATAATTTTGGATCCACGGTTTGCGACTCGTTGCGGATGGGTATCGCTTGCTAGGTCGGTGACTAACTGACTATGGGTAATAGAGTTTGGTGTTGAAACTCTGACAAGGGACGCAAGCGATGGGGACCTTGCTGACGGCCGACCCGATGCGTCGGACGAGTCGTTCCTTGGGTCCAAAATTGGGTTGTGGCAGTGGTGAAAGCAGAACATCGGATTATGCAGAGACGGGGCGGAAGACTGCAAGCTGAAAGTCATTGCGAGGGCTGAGGTGCGTAATCGAGCCACCATATGAGATGTCGTCGAAGAGACGGTGTTTTCGCAAAGCTACGAGATAGTCGAGTTCAACTTCACGGCGCCCGTTCGGCTTCTGTCCGAAGTCTTGATTGGAGTAGCTTGTCCTAAGCGGAGGACGTTGGGTTGACCAGGGCGCGAAGCTGAGGCCCAGTCCGCTAATTCGTTCTGCCTTCAGGATGCCCCAGGTCCACGATGTCCTCACATTTCGCGTACAAGGGTGTGAGTCGTCATCGGCGTGGAAATGGGTATCTCCAGACTTCAAGTGGTGCTCGCAGGGGTTGAAGAGCAACTGCCAGCGGGGAGACTGTCTTGTGTTCGGTGATTGCGACATCTCACAAACGGAGTGCATAGGATGCTTCGTCAAGTAATTGATTTGGTTGGATCCGCTTCATCTGTGATGCGAATTAACTCGCAAGGCCAATTCAAGGTGGCAACAGGTTCCCAGCTGCAAGATGGGCCAACCGGACACATTATTGATTCGAGTTTTCTCGCTGGATTGTGAGTATGCTCTCGCTTGGCAATTAGTGTCGCTCCTTCGTGTGGTTCTGGAAGGGCCGAGGACACAAAAGATCCTTTTGTGCATGATGTATCGTCACTTCGGGCCCTCGGGGGAGGATCTCCAACGTCTCTTCCCCTGGCTGACTACTAGAGTTTGTAGCACAGACTAGAGGATGCGGCATGGCAAATTTAAGTGGCCGCTTTGACGCCAGGCCGACAGTAGTCCGCCGTCTAGCACTGCGGTGAAAAGGAGACGGATGAGAGACGGACTGGTGCCAGGTGGATGGCATAGGTGTAGGCGAAAGTTGAGGGATGGAGAGTTGGCGGCAGCGGCTGGTGCCAAGTCAGGCGGCCCCATGAACCGTTTCTTCGTTCCTTGCAGTGGCCGTGTTTGTGCCTGTCAGTACGTACCGGCGAAGAGATGTGACTGAGCAATCAGCAGTGTCTATTTCCAGATCCCCGTTAAGGTAATTAATTAGCTTAAACGCTCTCTTGTCAGTGAATGGGACATGCTGTAGCAGAACGTCGCATCAACTGAGCCATGTGTGGGCTCATCGGAGAGAGACACAACCAACAATGACCGCTGGAAATTGGATAATAACGAGTTTTCATGTCAGCATAGCAGGTTTGTTGACCACATCCGTACGGATAGATGGCCGGGGAAATTCCCTCGAGGGGCGAGACCGCCAGAGCAAAGAGGTATGTGGGTGAAGCTACCTACCTTGTGAGTGTCGATTTAGCGGTTGGAAATGCTGGCCGCAACCCCGTCTTGGTTCTTGACTTCGTCCAGTTGTGTCCAGGCTTTGGTTGGAGGTCAAGTCGACAATGCTCTGGCTCCGCCGCGAAGCGTCTCTTCCTCGATGTACCTGGGCTAGCACGCCATGCCCGAAACTTGGCTCTTGTTGGCGGCCTAGGCTAGACTGGCCTTGTGCTTGAAGTGGCACTCGAGGCCTGATGTTTGTTTCCAAGTTTCCAGAGCCTACACAGTACGCTACAAGTAGGTTCCGCCCTATCCCGGCTGTTGGGGAACGTAGCCATTCCATTTCGAGGCCTCGCGCGAGATGGGTGAGTATCCGCAACATGGGGGGAGATTTCGAAATGGATGCAGCAAGAGTTGCAGGACGAAGCGAATTCGTAGTTGTCGAAAGCTCTGGTTGCCTCGACGGTGGTACTGTTGCCTTGAGGCGGACCACTGCACCAAAAAAAAAAAAAAAAAAAAGTGTCCGCCTGCAAGTGGGAGCAGATTCGGAGGCAAGTGGGTTGCGGGAGATCTCGACGTCTCGTCACCCCCTGGAATGGGACGAGTGGGTTACCTGGGAGGTGCTGCGCGGGTCGCTTCATTGGGTGAAATCGCGGTCCACTGAGCAGGAAGCGGAAAGCGCGTTGGCTCAGCCCTGTTCGGTTGTGATCTGTTCCTTGCACTGAGTGGAAAAGTTACTTTGCACTTGGGAGAGTATCCGCACCGCATTGTGGCACCCAGTGGCGCTCTTCTCGCAGAACACGCCAATAATGTAATGCCGTCAGGCTGCAGCTCTACGAGTTGTCGATGGAAAACCTGCGTACGCGCTTCACACCGTAGTCAGATGAATGGAGCGTTACCTTAGTTAGGTTGGAGATGGAAAGAACTGATGTTGGCTGGGTGGGTGGTGCTTCCTCGGGATGCAGATACGTACCTGTCTTACATGAGAATGGAGGAAGTTGCAGTCGGGAAGGAGGTGCCTGCCTCTAGGCCCTAGGTGCCTGCGCCAGGGAAATTCAATGGTCCACACCCCCTGGCTTGAATCGTCCCACCCAATCAGAACGGGTTAATCTCGTCTTTAATTTCCACACCCATGTCTGCGCTGTCGGCGGCGCAGTCGACAATTGCGACGATGGCATGCACGACTTCACCAGACGGCGGGAGCATTGCGCCCAACTTTGCTGGGCTTCCCCCTTCTGTGCCTCACTTCATCACAGCCTGTGCCTGTGCCTCTCCAGGTTTTCACTCCCTCCCAATATGATGCCCATGAGGCCATTGTGTGAACCTTACCTAACTGGGTCAGGATGTCCCCGACTCACCCCTCTCTCTCTCTCTTTACCTGTAGAACCTGGTATTTTCGCTGAATGTCAATGTCAATGGGAACCCCCCCCCCCCAGAGACCACGGAAGAGAGGAGGATTGCCTTGCACCCCCTTGCCGCGCGCCCGGAGCACTCACGGTTCACCTCACCACCCTCACCCTCGGGGTGCAGTGCTAGCAGGGGTCATGCTCACCTCACCTCCTCTTCTTTTCCTATCCCTCCTGTCGTCGTCTGCTCTTTCCTTCTCTTTCCTCTTTCCCTCCTTACCCTCAACCCAAGTCCCAGTCACTTTACCCCGTGCCGTTGTGCGTCTCATCATCTGGCTTCAGCCTGACACTCTTTTAAATATAGTCATTCATTAACCCGTCGCAAAGACACCTCACTCTCCCTTTTTCCAAAACCAACCTTCTCACTTTCTATCCTCCAGTCGCTCGTTCCTGGACTTTTTTCGTCTTTTTATTTTAGACCTAACTTCTAATCAACACCTCTCCAACACTCACGACCTCGTCGACTCAATCCATCAAAATGCAGTTCAAGATCTCCGCCGCTGCCTTCCTGGCCTTCGCTGCCTCCGCTCTGGCCCAGAACGCCAACTTCGACCCCGTCACGAAGCCCACCCCCAACGAGCAGATCAACGCTGGCACCTCCTACACCATCGAGTGGACTGCTCCCGATGCCTTCAAGGACGTCACCGTCTCCATCAGCTTGATCGGTGGTGCTACCCAGAACACCCAGGTTCCTCTTCAGGACATCGCCTGTAAGTATACAAATCTCCTGGCTGTATGGGACGTGACGGAGATATCTACCATCCTCCTGGCGGCCAATGTGCGATGGGATCAGGAAGGAGAACTAACACGCTCTCAGCCGGCATCCCCAACTCTGCTGGAAAGTACACCTGGACCATCCCCAGCACTCTCGGCAAGGACGCCTTCTACGGCCTGGTCGTCAAGTCTGAGTCCAACCCCACCGTCGACTTCCAGTACTCCAACCCCTTCCACATCATCGCTGGCGAGGGCGCTGCCTCCGGCACCACCACCGTCGTCTCCTCCTCGCCCACTGCTACCGTCACCCTGTCCGCTGCCAGCGTTTCGGTCACTCCTACCGCCTCCGCATCTGCCTCGGCTTCCGCCTCTGTCACCAAGTCTGAGAGCGTCATTGTCAACTCTACCACCGCTCTTTCCACCACCGCTGTCCCGACCCCCGCTACCCTGAGCGCTCCTGCCTCCACCATCACCAGCGTCACTCGCCCTGCTACTAACAGCACTGGCACTGCTACCCGCTCTGCTATCGCCACCGTCACTGGTGTTGCTGCTGGTGCCCAGGCTACTGCTGGTGTCTTCGCTGTCCTCGGTGGTCTCGCCGTTGCTGCCCTTCTCTAAGCAACATCCGTTGCAGCATTTACTCGGATTCACTACATCTGTTAAAACTGCATTGGGCTTGGTTTTGGGTTTCAACGTGCATATTTGGTCATGAATGGATAAAAAGACGGGTGACACGGCTTCGAGGCTAATGGACTCGGATATTCCGTGTTATTTCTGCCTTGAGGAAACGGGCTCCCCCGCACATGGCGTTTTCCTGTGTTTTCGATACCAGTGTCCCCGTGGACGTGGGTGGTCACGAGGGACGGGTTGATACCTTTCTAGTTGATAATGTGAGAGAGAACGATTCAGTCTGTTTCTAAAGAAAAAGAAAACAACTTTTTACAATGCTCTGAGTCCTCTTTCCAATGGTTCAATTGAATTCTGTGACATGTCGATCTCATTGGGGTAAAAGGTGAAATGCCGATCAGATAACCTTGCAGCTGTCATAGGACGGCCGCAGCTTGTCTGACGTGAACAGGTGGGATTTTCAGGCACGACTGCCCTACCACGCCTAGGCCCCAGCACACTGTTTCGGCTGACTTCTTGTGTAGACTAAGGGTGCATGGGTCTGCAACCACAACAGCGATCCTACAGCTTGGTACCGACAATTCTACCCCGTGAAGCTAGTTGACGTTTTGCTATTGTCTTGTTATTGCTCCTCGAAATTACACCTGCCCAATCAATTTCGACAACGGCCTCTTTGTTTGTTCTTTAACGCTCATTGTTCAGGCAATTTACAAAGAGCCGCCGATCAAAACCCACAAAGCAAGCCCCCGGCTGTCAACGGCTGCGATTTTCCCGGACCCGGTCGGACTCGGGTTCAGGAAGGTGGCGGTCGGGGTCTGGCTCCAACAACCGACGACAAACGAACGCCAGATCATTCAAGGCCCCTCTGTTCCTTCCCCACGGCAATCTTCAAGAATCTTCAACAACAATATGAGGGCAGCGGCAGCTCGCGCCAGGACGGTGTTTCTTGTTTTTCTTTACACAGGGAGTACGGAGTAAGGGCAGGCCTTTTTCAAGAATCAGAATAAGAAACCTGACACGAACTGGCTCATGACTCGGCCGATTTAGATTGCAACTCCAATTTTTCTGGAGACGGTTGGAAACTCTGTAAGGAGTCCGGCGGTCCGGGATCAGACTTGTTGAAACCTTTCCAGGAGTACTCCGTTTGCTGAGTGCGAGGTATCCGTATGCAGCAGTGCTTGCTTTTTCCTTCTTCTTTTTCCTTGGACGTGTTCGTTACCACGCGAATTGAGCGTTCTATGATTCTTCAATCTATCCTGGCGGCCCTTGTTTCGGATTCTGTCACCACCTACCGGTACGGCAGCATCTCTGCCCTCTTGAGACCGGCCACTCCGGCGGTTCCGGATTTGCTCTCTGTCTGCACACAACGAGGGCTCCGTCGTTAGGTGTTATCGATGATGAAGAGAAGCTGCAAGACGAAAGGGCTCGGATTCTTCACGTGTATCCAATACGATTACGGAAAAAGCGGCGCCAGTGTGGAAACCTATTCTCAATATAAAGGAAATCAAAAGAGTGCGTCTGCGTCTGCGTCTGCAATGTATTATACTTTCGGCTTCCTCATCTCGGGAGGAACGCTGTGGGAGTATGCGTGGCTTTCCGGCGCGGCAGTACCGACTACCGCAACACCCCCCATGGCGACATCGTTGCCCGGGTTAAAAGGTTCTTTCACGCACGCCAGCAATACCGTCTCACATTTCTGAATGGCGGGGAAACCATCTATTTTCCCAATCATTGGGAGGGGTCGACCTTGTTCGAAAGCTGCGCGTGCGGTATTGCGGTCGTATATTGAAGAACTGGTCAATGCCCGTCGAGCCAGTCCGGTCAGCTGAGATTCCATGCAGCTGAGAGTCAAGCGTAGGGAATCATTCTCCCTGGGTATCCGGGTCCGGGGCGCTGGGTTTGTGGGCAATAGGTAAGCGCGCGTCTGCCCCTTGAGTCCGCGAGAAACGCATTTCAGCGTCCGTTTCGATCATGTCTGCCACGGTCCTGAACCCGGCCTGCTTGCGTGACACGTTTTGTTGGCGGTGCCCGTCCAAGGGGAGCCTAAGAGAACGATCTCAAACTTGACTGGAACTCGGCCGTGTTGTAGCAGGAGCAGGACTATCGCGAACTGCTGCAACGTGAATGGTTCACTTCGATGTGCTAAAGGTCATGAATCATGCCTGGTTCGTGCTGATGGTGTCAGTTCCGTGGATGGTTGCGCCCCTTGAAACGGAGCATATGGCCATGGCATCACTTTGTCCCTTCCACTGCCATGCTTTTGCTTGGAGACGCGGCTTCGTGTACTCAGAAGGGTGTGCTTTTGATAGGCGCTTGCTTAGCAAGTCACGTCGTCTTGAGAAAGTCTTTCTCCATTCAGTAGTAAAATTTCTGCTACGCATGCCAGTCTGAACGCCGAACTTATCTCCTGAAGTTATTCAAGTTGTAGTGCTCTCCTGATAGTGTCTTCGGCTCCTCTCGGAGTGTTTTCCA